GAACCAGCTGATATTAACTTGCACTGACAAGGGGCAGGCTTGTTTTCTTTACTGAGAGAGTTCAGCTGCTGTCTTGTCTTTCCATGTCTTGTCTTTTTACACCTCCCTTTCTTCATGTGTTCAATACTTTTTCCCTGTGCCATTCCACATTATTACAAATAACTTCATTTCTGGACATTTATGGTTTGATTTCTTTGTATGTATGGATTGCTTGGGTTGTTACCAACTTCTGGTGAAAATTTCATGTCATTAGCACCTCTAGTAATATATTTACTGAGAAAAATGGTGATGTGTTCAATACTTATTTTACCCGCTGTATGTGTGGAATACCAATTATTTTAGGTAGAATACTTGGCTGGAAATAAATTTTCAAGGTGAAAAAAACCCTAAATTACCTTACAACTAAATTACCTGAGGTAAATTGATCTCCTTCATTTAATAAAATCAGCCTTTGCCTTTTATCACTTGTAGTTTTTGTTCTACAGTCTACTAGTATGAATATGTGTCTTTCTTCTGTTCTAAGCGAGATTTCAATAACAGATGGAAATCCCTCTGATGGTTCATTGTCTCAGAGTGGACCATTTCTATTTTTATTTTTGAAAAAGGTCATGTCACAAGGTTCATTTTTTACTTAGTTTGCCTGGGTTTTTGTTTTGTTCTGCATCCATAGCAGAGAAAAGTTAAGGGAAAAGAAGGAGCAGACTATTTGTTTATTTATTTATTTAATTTATTTATTTATTTGTTTATTTTTGGCACTGTCAGCTGATCTTCAGACATTTCCTAGAGGTTAAAAATGGATTTTCCTTAAGTTTCTATTGGTCAAAGTGATCATGGTTATTGAGTTAAAATATTTAACAACTAATATGAAGTTTTTTTAAACTAACATTTATGTAACAGTCACGTATTGGCAGTTAGAAATAATGTTTTTAATCAGCTAAATTCAGGTTTTTGTTTTTGATGCCAGCCTACAGTTCAGCTTTGCTGTTTGCCGACAGATGAAACAAAATTCACTGCCCTGTTAAACTCACTATTGTCTGTTTTTTCCTCCTTTCCATTTATTGTTAAAAAACCTGCAACTTTCATTTTTTCCTCTGGTTCCTCTTGAGAAAGGGCTTTGTTACCTGCTTCCTGATTAACTCCAGATATGTAACGCCACATTAAAGTTGGTGTTTTTATTTTCTCCTTCTGATAATCGGATGTTTACCTGTATAATGAGCCTCGGAACCTGCGCACGGGGGACAGGTGGACCCACACAGATGACAGCGCCTAGCAGGAAATAAGGAGGGGAGAACCGATTTCTAGCTGCAGAGCGGGNGGAAAGGAGGAGGGGGGAATTTATTTCTAGCTGCAGAGCGGGTTGGAAAATGATGTTATTTAGGCTCTGAAATGCAAACTAGAAACGAAACTGAGGTCAGTAGCGCGATTTGAACACAATTTTTTTTAGTTCATTACACACCTGCCACGGTGGCGGGTGCTTTGTTCAGATCTACACGCCACTTCATAATTTTACCTGCATTTGGCCAGTGGCTGGTGCTAATTTCCACCACTGGTCCTGCTTGAGTAGAGCAATCTTTAAATCAAACAAGTGACTCATAATTGCACAAGTAAATTCCAGGGAGACAGAAAAGTTGGTGAAGAATTTATCTGACAGAGAGCTCACCCAGCCAGAAGCCAAAATATTTTTCAGAGGACTGAACTTTGCTTTTGCACCAAGAAGAATTCCTCTGGTTGAGATGATCACAGCCACAAAATCAGTCATTTACAAYAACAAAATCCCAAAATTTGAAGCAGAACAACTTAGGAACAAAGTTTCAGCCTGTCTCAGCAATGCCAAACCACCACCTTCCAACATCAGTAGAGAAGAGAGAGACGCTGTCACCACCCTCAGCAAGGACAAGAACATCATCATCCTCCCAGCAAAGGAACGTGCACAGTGATTCTGAACCAGAAAGACTACTATGCGAAGGTTATAGCACTCCTTAGTAGCACAACCAAATACGAGCCACTGAAAGGAAGTGGATACAAGAAGAAGTTGATAGAGTGCCTGAAAAAGTTAAAGCAGGACAAGGCTATTAACTGCAATCTGTACCACACACTGTACACAGGTGAGGCCACTCCTAGTCTGTATGGTTTACCCAAAATTCACAAAAAGGATGTACCAGTAAGACCTATTGTTAGCATGATTAACTCTGTCACTTACAATGTTTCCAAATATCTGGCGTCAATACTTGGTCCTTTAGTTGGCAGTTCAG